CCCGAGTACAGCCCCGCAGGCAGGGCCCTGCACCCTTAGCTCGGCAGCGCCGAGTAGAACAACCTTTTCCGCTTGATAGATATATATTCTTTCTACATTAAGTTGTGTCCTATATATTCTATCTATCTAGAATACTATATACCATGTCGGTTAAGACCACATGTAAAAAAATTTATATCGAAGTATAAAGGAGCAGGACGCAAATGTAATGTAGAATATCTATTTACCTATATGGTTACACAGATACAACATCGCGCCGGCTGGTGCTGCCGGTGAAGTGAGGTGGTGCGAGCTTTGCCGCTACGAAACGCTTCAACATCCTATCGGCAGCCTCGTTAGACGTTTTTCTGGCCTCCTTGGCCGCGGCAAGGGCAGCCTGCTCTTTGGCCTTGCGCTCCTCCGCGGTTGTTGCTTGGCCACGAGCCAGCAACACGTTGTCGGCCGTGTCGGTGGGCGAGCGGTGGTTCGTCCACTTCTTGAGGTCTCGGGTTTGCAAGTAGCCCTCAAGCCCGTGGCTGTAGGCATATATGTACAGCCAGGAAACACGGGCCCATTTTCGGCACAGTGACAAAGAGACAGTGCTCAGCGTCATGGGAAGCCTTGCAAGCAGACTCAGGACGGAGTAGTCGCAGACACGGCGCTCGATAGACTTGGTGTAGCCCCAGAAACGCTCGATAGCATTGAGCTCCGGGTGGTACCTGGAAACCCCGCAAGAGCAGAGAAGGAAACTTAGCGCAAGAGTCTGAGCAGCATTATACGATTAGAATCGAACCACATGCGCGTATTGCAGATATCTAGATATTCTACCCATAGACACATCTCCGCCCAAAAAAATGCACTCACTTGGTGAGGAAAATGCATGCGTGCCCAGCAGCTTCGAACAGCTCCTCGACCCGATTCATCTGCTCCTTGAAGGCCTTGACCTCGCTGATGATTCGCTGGCAGCAGCATCTTCTCGATGTTCTGGCTGCATCGCGAGCACCACCTTCCTCGCTGTCTTCGTCCGAATCATCGGAGTCTCCTTCGCCTTCGAGCGCCTGCTGCCGGCTCTCCCCCCCCTTGTTGTACATCGTTGACTTGTCCCGCTTGGCCTTAGCCTCGTCTTTGCACCTTAAAAAGAAACAGAGGACAGAGACATGCAAAAAAGAGGCGCCGAAAACGTAAANCCCCCCCTTGTTGTACATCGTTGACTTGTCCCGCTTGGCCTTAGCCTCGTCTTTGCACCTTAAAAAGAAACAGAGGACAGAGACATGCAAAAAAGAGGCGCCGAAAACGTAAATATAGGTTACCGCGAGTCCAGGTGCATCGCAGCAGAATAGAGCTCAAGGGAAAAAGCAGAACACACCTCGAATAGTTCATCGACTTCAAACAAGGCATGGAGGGCACGCCGGCATTTTAGACCCTGAAACAGAAACGAAAACAGCAGCGGTGGCGCTTTCGTTTCGCTGGCTAGCTTGTACAGCCCCATGTCCTCCAGAATCTCCTTCATCCCCTTGGCAACACCAATCAACTTCTCCGAGCTGGTCCCCCGTTTGACAACCGTTCCTATCGGGAACACTCCCAACCTTTTCCCGTGTCGTTTCTTGGCTACATACGTTTGACGGAGACAAGAGCAGGAAGGGGAAAAGGCGATATTTGTTTCGTACCCATAGCCACTACCTACGAAACTGGATAGGATGGGAAAGCTCGAGTATCACGTGGTGCATTTTTTTTAAGCCTCGCACAAAAAAAGTTCCTAAAATCANCTTCTCCGAGCTGGTCCCCCGTTTGACAACCGTTCCTATCGGGAACACTCCCAACCTTTTCCCGTGTCGTTTCTTGGCTACATACGTTTGACGGAGACAAGAGCAGGAAGGGGAAAAGGCGATATTTGTTTCGTACCCATAGCCACTATCTACGAAACTGGATGGGATGGGAAAGCTCGAGTATCACGTGGTGTGTTTTTTTTAAGCCTCGCACAAAAAAAGTTCCTAAAATCACGTCAACTCTCTACAGCAGTGCAGTAGATAGATATATGTCTACATAGAAAAAAGTCCCACAATCAACGATGGAGCTCACCCACGGCCTCCGCCCCCGTCTTTCGAGCGAAGGGGCTGGATCTGAAGCACAGCACGTCGCCCTCCCGAAACGTCGTGTAGATCGTTGTGGACAAGAGTCAGCATGTTCAGTATTTCGCTCGAGGGAGCATTGAAAACATGTAGTGAATTTTCATCGACGGGAACAGGGGCACACTCCACATTCCACGTCAGCCCTCCAGATACAACCTATATTTACGATACTCCTATACAACATACCTTCGGCATTGTCCCGTGTTCCTGCATGATCGCGTACACCTCAGCGGGGATGTCCAGCTGCCCGCGTTCCTCGCCGATCAAGTCCGACACCATGACAGCGGCGCCCTCGTTTTTCGGGCTCATCGCTGCGCCCTTTTCATCATTCTCCCACGCTGCCCCGCCGCTGTCGTTCTGCTTGTAGGGCGCACTCGTCGAGGTACACCACCTCCATCACCTCCCTCGGTTCCAGCAAGCGAAACCCGGGCGGCAGCGGTTGGGCTGGAACACGCTGCCGCTCCGTGCACCACAGCTCGAGTCTCTCGTCGACCGGAAGCTCTTCGAGCTTTCCGCTCGTCCTGAGGTTATGCTGCTTCTCCCAGCCGCACTCGCCTTCGAGCTGAACGTGCATCCATGTGCTCCCTTCCCCCAGAGGATCGCCCCCCGCACTCTCGAACACCGCAGGCCAAAGAGCAACCTCCTCGGATTCCGGGCCCTCACCGATCTTTGCGAGCCTGCAGGTCAAGGTGGCGGGACGAGAGATTAAACAAGAGGTCCCTGCGCAAGGTTGTATGTTCGCGTAAATGCTCAAACTTGAACGACATCTAAACTTGAAAAAAAAGTAAGTTGTCGGTTCCACGGTGGAAACCTTACACGAAATCGGAAACATTGCAGACCCAATCACACCACAAATTCAATACGCACTTGACTGTACGCTTCTGGTGCTCCTGCATCTCCGTCACGTAACCCATCCTCCTCCTGATGTTGTCGGGGCGGTTGTGACCGTCTGCGTAGACACACTTTCGGTGTCGCCGCCAACGGAAGCCCAAGTCCTGCAGCCATCTGTGCACCGTGTCGAGGCAATTTCCCCGCGCACCCTCTTCCATGTAAGGCTTGAGCGCGGTGTCGTTGAGATGCCTGCGATTTTGATCAAAAATAATGGTGCAACATAAGTTGCTGTGCAACAATCGACACACGGTTCTTCTGCATATCTTTCAACGACCTGGGATGTAAACATCTATTGCAAATCGTGGGAATGTTTCGACACCAGCATGCATCGCTAATCGCCAACCGACAAACTCTGAAATAGAATCCTAACCATGACGTTGTTTACATTCCATACTCACTTCTGGAAGTCCCGAACACGTAGCTGCGGCTCCCCCTCCTTGCGGCCGTATATCTTGGCGTCCAGCCACTCGCGCGACTCTTCGCGAAAGTCCTCGTCGTTGATTACCGAGAGCAGGTTGCGAGCAGCGTAGTCCCGCACGCGAACCTTGAACCTCTTGCCGTTGACAAAATCACGCACCCACGCCCGAACCACTTTACCGGTCACGCCGACCGGAAGCGCCGCAACCTCGCTGTGCTTGATGGGGTGAAGTCCATCAGCAATCCTGGTCCGCCAAACGCAAACACATTTGGCAAGATAGTCGTGACTAATTCAGGGGATGCGTATTCGACAACGTGGAATTTAGCGGGTTGTAAACTGTTTGCGTACCCACTGCTGTAGCACGCATCCATCACACACGCGAAAAACATAACTTACTCTAGCGACACGAAGGTCAAGATGGCGGACGCCTGTCTCATGGCGTACCCCTTCTTGTTGTCGGTTGCTAGCGCCTCGTCCGGGTTCTCCACGATGTTTTCCAGCCGGAAGTGCCGGACCGCCTGATCAAATCAGTACAGGGAGGGGGCTGTCACGTCAAGGCGAATATTTACCGACAGAACTTTACGTGACGCACAGCAGCAGCAGCCCCACCAATTTGAACATGTGCGTGAATTTTCAACTTAAAAAACGCAACCACCCATGTTTTTATCTAGGCATATCTTCATGGGGCTGTGATCACATGAAAGCACGCACCACCTGCTGTCACTACACACAAAACGACACAAAACAGGCCCCTGCCTTCACACACACACTCACACACGAGAGAGTCGGCAAAGCTGGGGATATTTTTTCACCCTTGCCACAAATGAAAGCAGATGCGGCAACATCACAGCTGCAAAGTCCACACAGCAGTAGTCATGAACACCATTGTTGTGTCTACTCCTAACGCTGCTCACCGGAAAAAGAATACCCTTCGCCTGTTCGAAGATCTCTAGCCGCTCTTGCTGCACCTTCAAACGCGCCGCTTCCCGCACTGCGCGCCGTCTCCCGGATTTCTTCGACCTCCTCTCCCGCCTTCGTTGCTCCTTGCGAGACACTCTCCTGCGCTTGGGGTTACATTGCTTCTCCTTCTTTCCTCTTCCTGGGCCAGCTGGCAAGCCCTTTGGCCGCGGTTTCCGCGCCCGCGCCGCGGCAGTAGCCGCCGGCTGGATGCGGCATGATTTCCGCTGTTCGGCAACAGTTCGGCGGAATCTCGATCTGCGCACCGATCGGGATTCTGCAACACTCCCTGCGACGGCTGCTTCGGCGTCTGCTCCAACTTCTGCTCCACGTCGCTCCACTCCATGTTGGACTCTTCTGACGACGTGCAGTCAGCCGAGTCGCCAGCGTATCCCCCAAAGATGAGCCCCTCAGACGCGGAACTGCACGCGTCCAGACACACATCCACCTGCTCCATGGCATCTTGTCCAAACCAATTGCAGAGCTCGTCACCGTCGTCTCCACCTCCCTCAACCTCGAACACAACCGCCCCGTCCTCAAACTGTCCCACCTTGCTTTCGGTCTCTAGAGGTGGGGGCGAAAGTGCTGCCGGANAAGGAGCTCCCCGAGCTGCAGCTGCCATAGTGACTACTGCTGTCGCTGCTGTGTTGGCTGCTGCTGTGGTCCTCCTCGTCTCCTTCATAACATGTGTCGTGGTGGTCATGTGGCGGTGAAGTGTCCGCAGCGGGGGATGGTGACGCGGCCGCTTTCGCGCCGAACCGACCACCTGTTCTTGTTTGGCAGCTGCCACGCTTCTTGTTTCGTTTACCGGGGGGACGCCCAACCATGTATGGGCTTGGATGGGCCCTCAGTGGGGTCTATGTGACTGCTGTAGCGTGTGGTGTGTGGTGTGTGGTGTGTTGTGTGTGGCGGCACCAAACTTTGATGGACCATAACTCTTTCAGAAAAATTTTGTTCGCAAAAAAGAAAAACGGTCCTGGGTGCAGGTCCAATTCGCCCGAATCCGTCGAGTTTTTCGAAATCTATCGGTTGGTTTCACCATTAAAAACATAACTCTGGGCCCCAGGGCCCAGCTGGAATGAGTCTTTTTGCCCATTTCTCCGTTGTATCTCAGCGAATACAAAGTTGAGTTGGGTCGCCGCGTAGCCCTCGGCGTGATACGCTCAAAACCGGTCTTAAAAAAAAGTTGACATCACACACGCCCTACTAAAACATAACAAAATCTGGCAAAATCTCGACGGAATCGCGATTTTCTCGCCAACCAAAACAAAAAATCTGCTCCGATCAAACGATCCGCCTGAAATAGAGCCTTTTTACGATACAAGGTATGTTATTAGGGGGTACGTCAGTCGCTCGCAATATATTCCCGAGTGATTCTAGGCAATCGTGGAAAAATTTAACCGGACGGACAATAGATGTTATTAAATACATAAACGTTTACATCATGGGCAGCGAGCGAAAGGAACGACCGTGTTCCTTTTCGCGATGAAACGCATGGCCGTCACCACAAAACAAGTTGGAGAAACTAATGACGGTACAAAAATACTTTCGTGTGGGGCCATCCTTCCTCCCGTGTGACCCCTGCTGGTACTGCTGAGAACGTCCCGAATCGCGCAAAAGACGAAGTCCAAAACAACCAGATATCACACGCACGCACCGTGGACGGCATTCTTTATAAAATGTGACTAGACAACTTCGTTTACGCAACGCCCGCATGAGAGAAAACAACGAACTACTGTATCTACATGTACATGAAGTTTGACACATTGCGATAGCAGAGAACCTTGTCAATCTGATGAGCCCGTAACTGACACTGCTGTCGTAAATCCGCCGTAAAATACTCGGGCACGCGGTGCGATGTCTTCAAAACAACAGGCTTGTACGTGCCTAAACCATTGCACTCACGGTGTGCGGGTGTTGTTACACGCGGTGTAAACGCAAACGGGCAACACTGACATATCTTGCCTAGAAAACCCCCTCCACCAATACGCGTTCGTCGAATATCGTCGGGTGCCGACCATGTCCGAAGTTAGTACAGAGATACAGATGTACATTCATTGTAGGTGACCTCCCTCCCTTCCTTGGCCGCTGCCCTTAAGACGACATTTCACTCGTGAAGATGTCATCAAGCAACACCAAGAGAGGCCTACCACCATCCACGCATCAGCCTAAACTGGCCGCAGACGAAGAAAATTCGTGAAAAGGACTTTGTAGGGTATACCTGAGCGGGAGCTGTTTTTGCACCGGGCCCGCCAAAAGGGCGGCACGCATCAATAAAAGGGAGTAGCTAACTTCGCCTGCCAACTTAACCATCGCCCATGCTCTAGAGGTGTGAAAAGGGCTGTGCACATGAATGACAGTGAAGACGCGCTACACACCCTGCCCTGTCCATGGAGATATAGCATGTCTATCTCCACACGCCGACATTCAGACCGGGGTGTCTCACCCGGGTTCATCGCGGACCGGGCATCAGATGGGGAAATCAAGAAAGAAAACAACCAAGCACACCAAATAGGATCTCAGACCCGCCAGGCCTACCAAAACACGACGTCAACCGCAACCCTCAGACCGTCACACGCCATTCCATTGTTAATCTGTCTCTGACTCTTTTCTATGATAGAGATGGACTCTTGTCACGATCGGCATTTTCTCCTCGAGCACCCAACGAGACGGCCCGGTTTTTGGCTTGCCGGCGAGCAGAGTCTTCTGGCTACAAATGTAACGTGGTAGGGTGCCGACAGTCCCTCAATGAGCAGTGTACAACAGGTCGTGTCGTTACACTTGCTTTGCAGCGGCCTCGCGGCAGGTGTTTGATGTATCTCCCGAGGAGAAATTCGAAAAATACTCCCTCGAGGACTTGTAGTATTATTGTTCCTCGAGGAATTGTTGGGCATTTTTCCCTCCAAGGAAATTCCTTCCTATTTAATGCCCTGGAGGATGCTGATTCTTTCCCCTTCTGAGGGTTCGTTCGAATATGTCCCTCGGAGGGAAGATAAAATGTTGCCCCCGAGGATACGCTTCCTGTATATCCTCTAGAAGAGTACCTTCATTTCAGGTGATACTCTGGAGGGATGCTGAATTCTTCCCTCTGAGGAAATCGGCCTTTCAAATCCTCGGGGGACATCAGTTACCTACCCTCCGAGGAATACGTCAGAAACGTACCCCCCAGAGCAACGGTTTCTAGTCGATGCCCTGGAGGATGCTGTATCGGTGCCCTCGGGAGGATTTTTGTTTTGAGGAAATCGGCCTTTCAAATCCTCGGAGGACATCAGTTACCTCTCCTCCGAGGAATACGTCAGAAACGTACCCCCCAGAGCAACGGTTTCTAGTCGATGCCCTGGAGGATGCTGTATCGGTGCCCTCGGGAGGATTTTTGTTTTGAGGAAATCGGCCTTTCAAATCCTCGGAGGACATCAGTTACCTCTCCTCCGAGGAATACGTCAGAAACGTACCCCCCAGAGCAACGGTTTCTAGTCGATGCCCTGGAGGATGCTGTATCGGTGTCCTCGGGAGGATTTTTGTTTTTTTCATGGTCGAAGAAGTTCGACCAGAAGGTTGACGGCTCCCGAATCAATTAATCCTCTCACTATATAGACTATTGTCTCCCCAAAACCTACAATAAAATAATTCACCCCAAACCCTAAACAAAAACAATTAATTAATAAAACACACCCATTGCCTTTTATGTGTCGTGTTCTAATACTCCATCTCATGTGGCACAAGCCATCTATAAAGCATCTGTTAATTCCTGCTGTTGCTGTTCTATTGTGCGCATATTCTCTGGAGGATTAAATATCCTCCCGAGGATTTCAAATCCTCTAGAGGATTATTTTTCCTCAGAGGAATATGGGTGGGTAACCATTTTTCTACCCGTGGAGTAGCTCTGAATTTTCAGTATCCTTTTTGTGCCATAACCATCCGACACTATCTATCGTTCGTGTCGCAAACCTGTGGTTGTGGCCATTGAAATCTCATTGTTAAGAACAGAGTGCGGCTCGGACGTCCCAAAAGATTTGTGGTCGTTGAAGTCGACATCTTGTTCGAATGACCAACAAGTCGTCAAATCGAGCTGATGATTTCTCGTCGTCCAGATTGGTAGTCGTTGAAATCAACGACGCTCTGTGCTTCATACACATGTTGTTCAAATGACCAGCGAGACGTGAAATCGAGCTGATGGTCTCTCGCTTGACCAAGCACGACGCCGTACACAATACTCTCTCCTCGGGTCAGCCCGTTTGAACAAATCGCCTGGACAGCAAAGGAAAACCTGCGGAGTTTGTGTGACTTTGTTCTGCAGTGGGGGGAGGCAAACAAAGACGGTTTTCGCAACCAAACGTAGGTGTCAATTCTTGCAAGATTCTGTAGCGGCAACGGTACAACACCGGTGGTGTCGTTTTTTGCTTGCGACGCCAGAGCACAAAATGCTTCGAAGCAGCAATGACGGTGTTCCCACGACTCTTAGTTGTCACGCCAGCTCTGTTTCGTATTTCCTGCGTCCCAAATCTCAATGTGAAGCCCAGTCCCTCCCACACACATGTCCACCTCGCCGAGTCGCAACAGAACATGAATGTATACACAGGACACGGTTGCCCGAGAAAAATTGCACTATCGGACCAGTCGTGACCACGTCGCCGAAAGCCCATGCCATCCATATCCATGACACTCATTTCCAGGGTTTCTGTGTCCCGACTATCAATGGCAAAGCCAAGTCGCGGCTCCCACGCACACGTCTCCCTTGTCGAGTCGCAGCAGCAAATCAAAACACCCGGGCGCCGTTGCTAGAGATCCGTTTCACTGTCGGAGGAGCACGTGACAAACTCCCATTCTTGCCCACGGCACTCATATCGATGCTTTTTCTGTTTCTGTGCAGTCCCGGTGTGGAACCAAGTCTCCACTTCAGCACACATGCGACCCTTTCCCTGGCTGGATCACCTCATCAGACTTATGAAAACACGGGCCGTCGTCGTTGCCAAGGATCTGTTCATGTCGGCTTCCAAGTAGCTTCGCCGTCGAGGGAACCGATAGGCACCTGAATTCTGAGCAACACCCTGCTCAAACTGTTGCAGAGGCTGCAGGAAAGTAGGCATACCAACCCACATTGCAACCCCTTCGCGCAGTCGCCCGACACCAAATCATCATCCAAGGAAGTTTCCCATCCGCACGCTCTTCCTGACGTTGGTTGCTTGGGCGTTTCCGTCGCTGCCACCCTCCCTCCGGCGCGTTCGGTGAAGCATTGTTGGCTTCCCCTCTTGACACGATGTTGTGCTTGTGGATCTTGGGGGCGCCGTGCCTCCCTCACCCGCGCAGGCAAGTGTGAAGCCAACCCCTAGCGGGTCGTGCGCCCTCCTCCGACAGAAATACCGCCCCTGTCAGCTACGTTTAGACGTGTGCCTTCCCACATCTGCGTTCCCACCTTCGTCGGCCATGGGAAAACACGGCGCAGTTGGTTTCGTGCTGCGTTTTAAGAGATTCGCGCGGATATCGTAAACAAGCATGAATCGGCACAGTGACATCGTGTTGGGTCATACCTCAGCAACAACCGATCGCTTCGGGTCGAACGATGGCTTGCGCGACAGTTAATGTGGTTTCGAAGCATGTTGTGCCGTGTCGTAAAAATGAACTTTTGGACACCGGTGTCGTGAACAGCAATGCCGCATAATAATGAACTACGTTTGGCGTGCTGAGACGGACGGGACCAAGGCCGGAGCGATACCACCAGCACCACTGAGTTTCTCATGCCAACGAGGACAGTGAATCTGGTTGGAGGCACGTTCTTGCGGAAGCAAACTGTTCCAGGAAGGTCGGCCGCGCAACCGAGAATTCCATCTTTGCCTCGCCGTAGAATTGCCGTAGGCTTTGTAACGCGCGCCACGCGTCGTCGATGTGACGGTGAGAGCGAAGAATTTGGGGACTAACAATTCCACGAGGAAGAATAGTATCGGGCGTCGCAATTCCAGGGGCTTTGGCGAGGAAGATCAAGACTTCATGAGCCAAGGTGACGGCATCGTAGTTGTTTCGCCAGCCCAACCCCCGCCCCTGACAATTTCGAATCATCGGTAGGCCTGCAGCGCTACAGTATGCGTCTGTACTACGCTGATCGCCCCCGGGGTTCCCGAGTGGCTCAGTTGGTGACCTCGTGACCTGTCAACCCTTGGATACGGGAGAAACTCCGCGCAATTGCACGGAGTGGGATATTTCTCACGGTTTTCACAGACAATAAATAGTGGATGAGGAGGTTAGACAACATGTAAATGTACACCAACGTTTACATCATGGGCAGCGAGCGAAAGGAACCACCGTGTTCCTTCTCGCAATGAAACGTATGGCAGTCACCACGAAACAAGTTGGAGAATCTTATGACGGTACAAAAATACTCTCGTGTGGGGCCATCCCTTCCTCCCGTGTGACCCCTGCTGGTACTGCTAAGAACGTCCCGAAACGCGCAAAAGTCGAAGTCCAAAACAACCAGATATAACACGCACGCACCGTGGACGGCCTTCTCTATTAAAAGTGAACAGACATCCTTCGTTTACGCAACGCGCGCATGAGAGAAAACAATGAACTACTGTTCTACATGTACATAAAGTTTGACACATTACGATAGCAGAGAACCTTGTCAACCTGATGAGCCCGTAACTGACACTGCTGTCGTAAATCCACCGGTAAATACTCTGGCACGCGTTGCGATGTCTTGTTTAAACAACAGGCTTGTACGTGCCTAAAACGTTTCACTCGCGGTGTGCGGGTATTGTTACACGCGGTGTAAGCGCAAACGCACAACACTGGTATATTTGCCTCGAAACCCCCCCCCACCAATACGCTGTCGTCGAATATCGTCGGGTGCCGACCTTGTCCGAAGTTAGTACAAGGATACAGATGTAATGAGATATGGAACCTCCCTCCCTCCCTTCGCCGTTGCCCTTAAGAGGACATTTCACCCGTGAAGATGCCATCAAGCAACACCACGAGAGGCCTATCACCATCCACGCATCAGTCTAGACTGGCCGCAGACGAAGACAACTCGTGACAAGGACTTTGTAGGGTAAACCTGAGCGGGAGCTGTCAAGTTGCCGCTGAACGCAACATTACCAATGGGGGCATGTATGACACATGGGCTGCTATTGCAGCCGCAGCAGTGATGAAAGCGCCGAACACATTCCTTCACAAATATCCTGTTGCAGTAAGTACCCTTCCGCCCCAGTAACAAGAGAAATAGACGGTGTTGGGCACTCACAATAGTTCACCCAGAACAAGGTACTAGTGTATGGACAACATGTAAACCGGTCGAGAAGAGCGAGGAAAAGCAAATGCCTCACTTGTCGGCCAGAACGAGGACATCTAGACCATCCCCAACGAACCCAGCCTGAAATGAATCCACCAGAAAACATTGCTTCAGCTCGGAAGCTCGTTCGCCAACAAAATAACAAAGTAAAAAGAAATATCGCTACAAGCACCAAATACGTGCACAACCTATCCGTCCACCCGCACAAAACCGGGGAGTACTTGTTCGCCTAAAACGCAGTCTATGCCCTATGGTTGAGAAGAAGGGCGGCACGCATCCATAAAAGGGAGTAGTTATTTTCGCCCGCCAAAACGGCACGCATCAATAAATAGGAGTACTTAATTTCGCCTGCCAACTAAACCATCGCCCATGCTCTAAAGGTTTAAAGACGGCTGTGCACATGAATGACAGTAAAGACGCGCTACACACCCTGCCCTGTCCATGGAGATATATGTAGCATGTCCATCTCCACACGCCGACATTCAGACCGGGGTGTCTCACCCGGGTTCATCGCCGACCGGGCATCAGACGGGGAAATCAAGAAAGAAAACACTCAAACACACTAAAACACGACGTCAACCTTCTCATATCCACAACCTTCAGACCATCGCACGCCAATCGATCGTTGCCTTTTCCCGGCCATGGCAAAGTTTTGTAGCAGTGGTCATGCCGGGTTTCTGCCTCGTTCCTTTGCACGCGAGAAGGCTCTGCAGCAGGCACGTCTTGTCTCGTAATGGTACAGCCATCAATGGAGCGCAGACGTATGGCAGCATTCCTCCAGTCACTCCTGGGGGTGGTAGCTTACAAACGCGGTATTGATGTAACTTTCCTACACCCTGTTCCCATCGAAGACGCCGAAAAAAAACGACGGAAATCTAACATTCCAACTGCACCTGTCGCTGCCTACCGACGGTGGAAGCGGTCAATCAANGGCAGCATTCCTCCAGTCACTCCTGGGGGTGGTAGCTTACAAACGCGGTAGTGATGTAAGCTTCCAGCACCCCGTTCCCATCTAAGACGCCGAAAAAAACGACGGAAATCTAACATTACAACTGCACCTGTCGCTGCCTACCGACGGTGGAAGCGGTCAATCAGGTGTCTCTGCTAGAGGCAATTTGTGGGGCCGCAGAGGTCGCCGGAACCGTGGCACATGCCTCCTCGGTGATCTCACCCCCAGTCGACCGCTGCGGGAATCAGCGAAGGGGAACCTCCCACTGGAAGAAAGAGGAATTTCGTTCAAACGGGCGTGGGGCAAAGAGCCGAAGACGGTCAAGCCTGCACGATACTGCGATGCCGCGGGTTTAAAACCGTGTTGGGAGCAGATGGAGCTGGTGTGGGAAGCTACGTCGAAGGTGAGTTGAGAACTTCCAAGTTTGAGGTGCGAAACGAAAGTCATCGTACAGGCCGCAGCAGTCGCGAGAAAAAGTGTGTACGTACTCGTCGACATGCGGGACATGTACTGGTAGCGTCCATTTCGCATATGCCGAGGAATGACATNCTCTGCTAGAGGCAATTTGTGGGGCCGCAGAGGTCGCCGGAACCGTGGCAAATGCCTCCTCGGTGATCTCACCCCCAGTCGACGGCTGCGGAAATCAGAAAAGGGGAACCTCCCACTGGAAGAACGAGGAATTTCGTTCAAGCGGGCGTGGGGCAAAAAGCCGAAGGCGGTCAAGTGTGCACGATACTGCCATGCCGCGGGTTTAAAACCGTGTTGGGAGCAGATGGAGATGGTGTGGGAAGCTACGTCAAAGGTGAGTTGAGAACTTCCAAGTTTGAGGTGAGAAACGAAAGTCATCATCGTACAGGCCGCAGCAGTCGCGAGAAAAGGTGTGTACGTACTTGTCAACATGCGGGACATGTACTGGGAGCGTCCATTTCGCATATGCCGAGGAATGATAAAATGACACGGCTCAAAGGCTACACACGTTGAGCGCGACCGAGTCTTTCTTCCGGGGGCTACATGCATTACGTTGTTGGCGTCCTTTTCTCCCACAGCGCTGGTGACCCTGGCGGTATGAGGCGCATTTCACGATGCCACGGAAACAGCGCCAACATGAAATGACTAGCTACCCATTTTCAACACGACGGCGAGGTAGATCGACGAGACGGGAGTGTGTGTGAAATACAAATTGGCTCACCTGAGTCTTTTCTGTGACGCTGTTGGCGTAGTCTGGTTGTTTGGCCGGACCACGCCGTCGACGCCGGACCAATACGCCCCATCCAGGGCGGCCAGAGAAACACAGGAGACGCGCAATAATAGCGTAGGAACAAGGGCGTAAACGTGCTTTGCTGAACATAGACGACAAACCTGAGACGCCCCCGGCCGGGTCGTGTAGATTTTCAGCTTTCTTAAACAATGGCCTTCGGAGAGGTGATTCCGCAAAAGGCGCTCCAACACCGTAGAGTCCTCTAACGTGGCCTACGGGAAGCAAAGTCAAAACCTCGAGGTGCCCTGGAAAGGTTATCACTCTCGCCCTAACCACGCTCTTGGTAAATTTTTCAGGTGCCGGGTATGTGGCGTCGGCAAACGTGTCTCGTGTACCACATCTCCAGGGCAAGGTCGGATATGTTGCAAAACGCCAGCACTCACATGTCCTGTTGTTGGGCGCGGTACGCTTGCTCCAGTTCGGAGGGAGAGGCGCGTCAACGTGGGCGGCAGCACTGCGAGCTCCAGCCCCCGAATCCGTCGACGTGGTTCCAGCAGGAGCCGGCTGCTGCTGCTGCGGGTGCGTTGTGCCTCCACCCTCGGATGCCGCTGCCGTTGCCGACCTGTTGGACAGGTACACCGCCGTACGGTACGAAGGCGCGGCGGGAATAGCGCCCAGCGAGGGCGCCGGCGCGTCGCCAGCAGGAGGATTGTCCTCAACGCCAGAGGCGGCACTAGCAGAAACCAAGCTGGGACGGTGGTGGGGAGCCTGGGATGAAGTGGAGTGGTGAGAGTTGCCCGAGGAAGCCTGTGAATACCAGCGTGACTGTGAAATCGGTTCGTCGACAGCCTGTGGCCGTCTGTGGGGACCGCCGGAGGAATGTTCCCGTTGCAATGGTCGCTCCCACTGAGTGGTCTTGTTGATCGTGTCCAAGTAGTCTGGGACACAGCGGGAAAAGGAGAGGAGCACTAAGAACGGTGAGAGAAACGACGCTCCCACGGGAGTCGAGAAGAGGGTCAAGTAGGGAGGAACTTTGGTGCGGAGACGGCGCTGGGCCACCTCGACCTGACAGCATCTCAAAAGCATTGCGGCAACCCGATCACGATAAGTATCTACCTGTTCGTCCCGCGAGGAGGTTATTTGTCAAGATGGCAAATGCTCTCACGTCTGGCAAACCATGTTGTACGTCGATCCAGTCTGAAAAGCAATGAGAATGTTCGTAGCACGTGATACCAAACCAGCGACGCTGCTCCGGAGGACTTCCTTGCGCGCGCTGTCGATGTTCTTGGGGTCTAAGGTTGAAGGCGATGAAAGTGTGTGGCCACACCAGATGGGGTGTTTCGGTCAAAAACTGTGGACGGACCAGACCGAGTCACACAGGAACAACTGTTTTTAAATTCTACTTCACTTCGTGCCATTTTTCGACGCATCTTGCCTTGGAGGTATTTGCGAGATAAATGCGGCCGTCTCCCTCCCTCTTCGACGGGAAACAGTCTACAGTGCGTCCCCAAAAATCGGCTTTCGTCCGAGTTATTGGGCAGAATGGGAGAACAAGCCCATACTGTGTGACTGCGCCGTAATTCCAACTCCCGTCCCAAAGGGTCGTAAGTGTGTGAGATTGCCAAAGGCAACGACGGGGGCGACCGAGTCCTTGCCAAGCACATACAAACTCCGTCACATAGCTAAGAGCGCTCGGCTACGGGGTGCGTGCGATTCACTGCGGTGGTTATAAGAGAGACGACAACTACTTAAGCCGACAACCGATATTGATGACACTTACAATTTTTCCCGTTGCCGCCGGTGCCCTCTACCCAACCTGCAGGTAAAGGCCCGCTGTTTAGGCGTGCTGACCGGTTGCCCTTCAAAGAGATCAAGACAAAACAAGCAACGTTCGGGGCAGACAGATCCCATGAGCCCAAGTGTGAAAGCGTCCATCGCTCTTTATTGCGACATGACAGGTGAAACAGGAAGCTCGTGGAAAGAATGTACTTCCTCACCTGGAAAATGCGGCGCAATGCAGAGTTGGATGGTGGCGGAGCGGCGCCACCGGCGTCATCCAGGCGGTTAGGCGACGCGGTCTGCTTGGCTCCAGTCATGACATTGAAGTAGTATATGCTCCCGTTAGGCCGCTGTTTCTTGACCCATTCCACGGGCAAGTCTTCCCCCGACGCATCGATCTCGACGTCCTGTTACAAGATACAAAAATCATTCGTACAGCAAGAGCGAGGCGATATGATGCTGGGGGATTTCCGTGATTGTTATCAATCTGGCGGCTTCAGGCGAGGAGAGGGTACGTATCCACGTTGCCGAGGTTCACGTTTGCGCTAAATAGATGAAAGCGAAACGAGGTATGCGCACGGCAGAGACGACAACAACGTCAACGATATCAGTATCTACCCGAATAGTGGTTCAAGCGAGTGCGCCTGCTCTTGTCAGAGGAATCAACATCAACGCCGGTCCTGAATGCCTTTCGGGGGAAACGCCTATTGAAAACACTACGGATCACCATAGCTGCGATCAGGTAACTCTGTGAGAGTCGGCTCTACTGATTCCCGGCAGCAGACACCGTCCAATCGTACCTGATTCCGATTCGATGACCGGAAACTGATGTTGAGACTGGACAGGCGGTTGCCGGCGAATTCGGCTGGCTTCCTGATGGATTTTCTGAAGTTGCGAAACCTCCGGTCGGGCGATTGCCTTTCGGAGAAAACAAAGAACAGCCCGAAGCCGGTCACCACGAACTCTTTTATATTGTTCAATTGTCGGCGAATGCAGCAACAGGACACAGCAGTGCACAACATCGCACAGCGGGGAACGACGCACGGATAAGGTCAGTGACAATCCATCAACTCGTTCACTATCCAGCCCTCGAAACACGGTACAGGCATGCCGCCTTGACAATACAGTCGCCGAAGGAACCGAACTGCTTCATTTCTGCTGCAACCCTTTGGGTGCACAGCGTCGCATACTGCCACAATTCTGGGTGTGCAGTCCCTGCCGTACAAATGCGTGCTTGCTTATGAGCGGCGGACGACTCACGCCAGATTCCTCCAATGGCCCCGATGATTGACCACCCATCCACAGGATCGACCTCCTGTTGGTAGATTGAAAATCGTGTGCATCGCGGCATGGACGAGCAAAGCACCCACTCAAAGCACCAACGAGTGATGATGAAAGGCAAAGGATTTACGTATCAGGCGCGAGGTACAAACACGGCATCGTGCTAGGCAGAGCTGCGGGGTGCGTGAGGAGTGGGTGGTAGCACACGAGCACAGGAATATGGTGACTTTCGAACGAACATGAAATTGGCCAGGCACCTACGTGCCCCCCAGCGTTCTCTATATAATGTACGAAGCGAATTCCCCCGCTCCAGCTTCCGCGATGAGACCACCGCGGACACGGCTCACCGCGAGAAACAGTTGCATTTACGCAAAACACGGGCTACCGTTCGTCAGCTCGGACGGAGTGTATTCGAAGTAGCTGCTATAATAGACGTCTCGGCGCTGAAAAGAGCGAACGCATGTCACGTTCAATGGAAACCACGGCAATCGTGGGTTAGTCGTTTCAGCACATCGGCATGTAACAAGACCGACCTCGATGGAGGTGAACTCGAACTTTCCGATGGACAATTCCACCATGAAGAACCCAAATTCGACGCTGTTGTAGTCTTCGTAGCCCCACCACCAGTGTTCGACACCCGTAATCGCTGTCTGAGAGAACGATCGCTCTTTCTCCTCCTTGTTGCCGTTCTTGTTGATCCCCGTAAACTCCGTGAGGCTTAGCACCTGCACACAGAAGGACAAACGCGGATCTCCTCCAATCAACATGCCATGGCACGAGCAAACTTGCGCCGAGTCGGCGCTGGTAACCTCGCAGCATTCGCCATTTTGGGGGCGCGAGTTCCACTGTTGGTGCAAGGGCACGAAGTGGGGTGGTTTCTCGCCATACTCCCAAACAGACGCGGATAGCGCCGATTATCGTGTGTGCTCGAAATTCGGTTTGTCAACGAGGGAAAGGAATGGCTGAACCCTCCTTGCGACAACAAACAAAGTTGGAGGCGTGCACCGCACTAGGTATTATAGGTCGAGAACAATAATAAATCCTGTGCGGTCTTCCGCTTCCAAAAACAAACCATCGGCGTCCACAACAAATGGGAGGGCACTCAACACGCATGCGTGTCGAAGGTTACCAACATCGCTCTTGTAAACCTCTGACAATGTGTTGAGAGAAGAGAAAAATGGAGGTCGAGTTGACGTGTACACATGCTGGCAAGGTAATCCGTTTCGGATTCCCTGGAGGCACCATTAGCAGGGCCGACAAGGACAGACAGACCTTGGCGAGAGCTTGCCGAGGCATGTCGAACGTGCGTACCTCAATTGAGGTTCGAGGGCGATCTTCGTATGAAACCAAAAACGGCACAGAGTGCGCCGGCCAAACGCAAAACGACGCACCGAACGGGGCGTGCGGGGCGGCGGAACCGTGGAGGTATTTAAAGCGACATGGCGAACTACGTACGCAACGAAGATATGGTGAAGTTGACAGGAAATCTCTCTCGTGTACAAGCTCCAAGGCTAATCCTGAAAAAACAGTGGCCATAGGTCGACGTAGGCCGTGGAAGCGACACGGAATCGAAACAAGGGTGGATTGCGGAGCGTGTGGCAACCAACATCAAAGCGGATGCGGTCGACAGAACAAACCTCGTCCGCCAAAGCAACAATTATCGACGTGACCGAAAAACGTGGGATGAGTAGCAGTTTTCTTGGTCATTGGCATGCAAAACGCTTCAGAGTGGCTGCTTTCGTCCGCTTCAGCGCCTGTGAAGGGATGAGCCCTCGCAAAACATGTTCTGTAGGGCATGCCCGACGCCACCATCCGCTTCCATTCCAGCAAGGGAGCCAGACGGCCGCGCCACAAGTCTCGCATCCTTGTGGCCTACGATCCGCCCCGAGATACCATGCTCTGGTGCTACCATTCGTTGGTGGCAAAGGTCTCCCAAGACGATTGGTCTCACCATATGGTTTATTGTCGCCTCGAAGGCGGTGTCGGTCGTCAAATTCAGACGCGAGTATGGCACCTTGGCGTCTACGCTCGCGCTCGTGAACGACTCTATGCTGGAGCCAGGCGGGATGAGATACAAGTCGAGGAACTGCCTGTTGATGAGGTAGTAGGAATGGTCGTAGTAGGTACCCTTTTCGTCCCACAAGACCTGCGGGCAAAAAACATCACAGCATTTGCGGGGGGGCTGAAGAGAAAGGAAGCGCTCTGCGCGTGCATGCACCGTCCGTGGCGGGGAAAAGCTTGGGGGACTCCAACCCGAAGAACTAACGCCTTGACGCGGAACCCTGGCGTAATTTGAACTTGCCAATCGCGCCGCACGTACCAAAATCTCGGCACATCATGACTCCATGGGCGTCACCAAGATTTGACCATCGTTAGCAGAATCATCGCGTGGACATGAAAATGTTATGCGGTTGATGCATTTTGTACGGTGCACTTAAGTCTGCTCTCTCATGTGGGGAAGTGAACACATCTGCTATTCTCATGTGCTTGCTCTCAACGTTCCTCGTGGTTGTGTTTGATCTAGTGGTGGAGCGATTAGCTTTCAATAGCATGCTGCACGGACTACAAACTCAAACACCACCTTTTACAGGTAAAGGAAAATATTCCCCAACGTTACACATCAAGGTCTGCTTGACCTGGGCTGTACATCCAACCCCTACAACTCACCTGGTTTGACTGTATGCTCGCACGACCTCACAACGCAAAACACGCTGGTAACACCAGTAACCGCGCTTGGGACTGGCGAATACGACCAGCCCTCGGCCGCAAAAGCCGAAAATTTCCTCAACGACGGCACCCACACCAAAGCGTGCAAATGCTCACAAGGCTCTCAACGAAAAGCTCTTATCTCCCAACGAAGTTGGTTCGGATAGCTAACACACTGAGAGTTCCACCAGTCTATTGAGATTTCGAGCTCTTGCAAAAAGGCGTCGGCGGGCGCTGTGATTCCATCAAGCCGACTACGTGCGCAAGGAGTGCCAGACAGCAAATTCGATACCCGAATGCACCACACCCACGCGCGGTTGTATCTCCGGTCGACCCAAGCAACTACCAGTCCTGCGCTCTGCACTGGAATCCTCACGTAGAATGCCGTCGAAAAGGAGGTGACGCTTCCGTTCTTGACTCCGGTCTCGTCCACCGTCATCATGGACAAAGGAACAAACTTGCAGTTAGGGTACACCTCCTCGAAAGGCTCGCTCACGTACGCGTAGTCGGCGGTGAAGTTCTGGTCGTAGTCGAGAAAACCCTGGATAATTATCATTGGTGCGTTCGTGAGCCCAACCCGGCAGGCAAAAGAGCGAGGGACAGTTGGTCTGGCTACCAAAAGTATTTCGGCTCCATTGCCGGGTCTTGCTAGTGATCCATTGAGGCGCAGCGGGCACGTTTTCTCTGGGCAATGGCCCAAGTTTCTGCCTAGTGTTGACGTCTCAAGCCCACTTGGCAATACAGGAAACGCATACGACTCCAAACCATGTGGCACGACGCAGGTTAGCACCGTAACGGTATGACGCGGGAGTTGGACAGCGCCCCCCCTGAAGCAGTCTGTGATGGTAAGGGGTTGGCCGTGCTGAACGCCATCGGGCGAATTGCCTCAACTCTAGCAATGCACATGGGGCCAGGTCAAGTGGGGCAAAAAGACCTGCACTCCGCCGAAACGAGGTTGCGTCGCGGCAAGGGTACGTCTGGTCCCACTCGTACACTCTATTGCAAGGAACACCGTAGAAGAACTTGAATTGACTCGGACGAGCAGCGAAGTCGCTCAAAAACGTCTATTTCCATCCATACATGGAGGAACGTGGAAATAAGAAAGGTCTCGCAAGGGATTCAGCAAAGCGGCAAGGGAATCCTTCGGGCGACTACCCCAACAACAGCAATACCTTGAGGCGCCTCGACTGAAGCAGTTCGCGCACTGCCTACCTGCCTGCGTTGGAGGGGGGTAGGGGGTACACTAAAGGAATGCCGAACACACGAAGAAAATCGGGCATGTTGCTTCGTTTCATGTGAAAGCACAACACCCTGTTCTCAGCTTTTTCAGTGTTTAGACAACAAACATTTCTACTTCGTTCTTCAACACTAGCTTGTGCCTGTTGTCTAGAACCGGCGCTCGGAGTAGGCTCACTCCACACAAATGGGCAACAGCATGTCCAGTGGGGAAAGCCCCTTTCATAGAAACCGAGACCATGCACGTCAGCAAATTGGGGTCTCTTGACTGACGCATAAATACGTGATTTCTGCTGGAGCGCGTTAGGAAGCACCATGTTTTGTTTGCATCCTTGAAATTACCGAGTGCTTGCAGAGCGCAAACGAGAGAAGCAAAGCAGCGCCTAGCTGAACCTCTAAACGCACGCCCCAACGTCGAGGCCCAAGATACGGGAAGCGGACTAGGTCACGGCTGCTACTCACCGTCTGGTTGAACGCAGAAGCAAAACTGCGGTCCTCGAAGCAATCGTTGTCGTAGTCGAGGCACCCCTTTCCGAACGTGGTGCAGAGCGCCACATCAGGGAACGTGTAGTACTCTTGCTGCGTTGCCGGTGGCCACCACGCAAGGTAGGCAGCATCAAGCGGTTGCGACGGGGATATGATGACGCGTTTCAGAAAGTCTACACGAGCTCATACAGGTCTCTCAAATCTAGAAATACAGTCAATCCACCACAAGGAGCGGTGTTCCCTAGGGACTCGTGCCGAAAGAATCTTTGCTTTTAGGACGGCCGCGAAAGGGTTGTGCGCTGGTGAGGGCATTTTCTTCCCTCTTTCCGCAAACTTACGCTCAATAGCCTGTATTTTCTCGGAACACAGAAGTTTCCCCCATGCAAAATGGGCCATCTGTAGCGGGACGACGCCAGTCTTGCGTCGGAGAGGAAACACCGCGCGATTCGTCGATAGCTGTTGTGCCATTTCCCTCTAGATGTGAAAAAAAAACGTTGCCTGTGATTTGTGCAGTATACCTTTCGAGAAGTTTCAGCTTGTGGCCGTTGTTTGGCCAGGGCTTCGTGGTACGGGAGGGGGGGGGGGGGGNGGGGGGGGGGGGTACTCTTATGTTTCGCATGCCTTAGCGGTTAGACCATTGACCACGCGCCCTCGTGCTACCGGAGCCTTGTTCCCACAGGACCGATCACTGATGGTCAATCCTTCCTTCCTACTTTGCCGACGGTGGCTCAGAATGTCTTCCCTTGTCTATCTATATCCTATCGATATTACCTCCCGCGTACCCACTTGCCATGCCCCATTACAGGTACCGACTTCTCCTGGCTGTTCCATGCCTCAGATATCTCCCTGAATGTTCCTTCTATTTTTCCCAGCTCAGTCATGTAGACGTCCCTCGCTTTCTTGTACTACGGCGGACATTCTGCAACTATATGAACCCGGTCTTCGCACTCGGAGCCGCAATCACACTGGAACTTGTCATTGTCTACCTTCCTAAATCTTCGTCAATGTTCTGGGGGCCATTGCCCCCGGCTCTACATTTGACCTTCAGCTTTGTCCCTGCATCTATTGGTGGTACGGGAGGGGGTGGAGCGCATGTGAGGTGGTCCATCGTACCTTGAGCTCGATGCTCGAAGCGGGGTCCTTTCGAGATTCAATAGTCTCCCATATGATGTACCCAACGTAAGCTAGGAAGCCCACCAGGAGGCCTATCCAGATGATCGTGGCCTTCGGGCGGTGCTCCTTAACCACCATTCTTGGTAGCCTATTTCGATCAGTCGCGTCGAATTGGTCATGTCGAGGAGGCAATAAACGGAGCCGGGCACAAACAAAAGAGCGCGTTGGTTACTGCAGCACAAATAGCAGCAGCAGCAGCAGCGGCGGCGGCAGCGGCAGCAGCAACAAAGGAACGATTGGCTGCTTGGACGTTGGCTATTCCGATTGCAGCGAAATCCGCGTGAGAGGTCTAGGGCGCCCACGATCAGGTTGCAAGGTAACACTACTATAGATTACCTTGTACTGCACGGCTAATGGCTATCCTTGGCAGCACCCGTAGCCGATCCTCTGATCGATGGATGCAACGCCTTACAAGATATTAGAACTCGAACCGACCCCCACGAAAATCTTTAGTGGGTATAAGCTCTTGTGGTTTCTCCACTGGTCAAAGAAGAAGCGAGGGATGAAGAAAACAACCTTGTTGTATGTAGGCATGAGCATCCGCGCTCTACAACGCAGGATATCATGGTTGCTTCGCCATGATGCTTGCAAAATGGTTGGGTACATGAGACATGGGCAAGAACATGAATACAAACACGCCAAAGGGCATCATCCTCGCCCACACTGCGTGCGTACGCACACCCCCCCGCCCAGACACTGCAGAGCATCACGAAGTCCTGTTGCGAATCACGAGATCCCGTTCGAACCAAGTCACCAACACGAGGCTGCTAGTACTGGTAGCTGCGTGGCCGAGTACGAAGGAAGTTCGTCTTCGGAGAACTCATTGTATTGTATCGCCTCTTAAGAGGCTTTTATATGGCCTTTCACAGACTGGGTTTTCGCAGACAAGTGCCTCTGCTATTCCGGGGAGTTTTTTGGGAATTCAACCGGGCCGATACTCCTAGACTAGGGTGTGGGAGCGATCACACAAACGCCAGGACTCACTAAATAAATCCTGGTCTAGGACGAAAGCAACGCGCTGCAAAGCTTGTTGTTAGTAAACCGTAATCGACTTCGTAAGTCGCGAGGGAAGGGATTTGCCAGAGGGGCAGACGACAGAGTCCAATGATGGGAGAAAAAAAAAATACCCCTTTATCACGTGGAAAGGACCGTGACGGCATTCGCTACTGCTGTATTCTTCTCCTGTAGTGGTGTGCGGTGTTGTGGTCAAAGAGGATCAAAGGATTGAAGGCTACTGATCTCGGTTCTTGGCTGATTTTGAGAGCAACCAAAAGAGCGCTCAGCCACCACACACTAGATACATACGCCTGACCATTCGAAAGCCGCTGGGCACGAAAAAATCTGTGGGTGTTGGGGCACAGCAGCGTAGAGGTTGGGGTTGGTCTCCTCCAGGAAATCACGCTGTCCATACCTTGAAGGGATTGCCGCTGGCTCTATTTTCTTATGTAAACCCAACATGAATCAGAAAAGCAGCCTTCCCGCCGTTCAGATAGTTTGCATTCTACACTTATCAGTAGAGGACACCATGAAGAGGTGTCGTGTGTACTGGCACGTTCAGGTTTGCTACTGGAGCTGAAATATGGACGGCCGAAGCAGCTTCTGAAAACAGTCCAAAATCTGCGCCGGAACCCAACATTTGTCAAAGTCGTGCTCACCGCCACGGACCGTGAACCCCTGAACGTCGGGCCATCACTATATACACCCGCTGCTACAAGGGTTGTTGCCTGTAACTACTGTAGTACACAGCGGTATATTAGGGATCACGAGTACTACTGCCACATGTCGCGAACCACACATTCTTTCTGCTCTACGGGTTTGGTACACAGCAGTACTTCGAAGCGTCGAAGTACCATACTTCGAAGCTTCGAAGTACAGATCTCCGCCGCCTCTGTCTTGGAGGGCTTGAAAGAGCTGTTTTGCGTTCCGAAATCAAAACGAGGCTGTTGATATACAGTCGACCCCGCTATAAGGACGCTCGCGTTAAGGGGACTCCCTGCTTAACCCTGTTGTGGCGGGAGTTACTACTGTGGCTCTTCCGGGAGGCACAAAAAGCTGTTCACACCAATAGTCCGAAATTGGAAATAGAAAGGGGAAGAAGGACGAAGAAGTCTGACTGGCCGCACACATACGTTGCGAGCAGCGCCCGCGGAGTTGCGCGCAGCCAGCACGAGCAAATAGGGCATGTGCCGTGGCCGGGGCCGGGGATAGAGTATCAGGTGCACCCCGAACGGTCTCAAGGGGGAAGGCCCACACCCACCATGGACTTGCCTGCACGTATTCGCATCGGACACATCGCAATTACCCACAAACTAGAGAAAAAGGCTGGTTCGTAGCTGCTGCATCAACACAGCACCCCGTACACGATTGGCTGTCTTCTTCCTCTCTCTCTCTCTCTCTCTCTCTCTCTCTCTCTCTCTGGTACCACGAATGCCTCACCCCGAGCGATGGGCAATCTAACAGTGTCCTACTCGTTTGATCAGTGCCCTTCCGGTGCCTTTCAGTAGGCAACACAACAACATTACAAACACGCAGGATCGGATGCGATCCGGCAAACGCGGCTGAACGCATGTTGCTGAAGATACAAAATGCACATCAACAGCACATACATCATGCAACGTCTAGCACTGCCGTCAGGTCATAAACGAGCCTTTGCCGCCATTGAGGACGTAGTCCTATCCCTTGCAAGGGCTGAGGCACAATCGCGCGGCGAAAGATCGCGCATGGCCCTCTGCTAAGCACGCCAGAACAGGTGTCACCCAGTGTAAAAAATCAGTATGGATTTTTTACAAAAGCCACGCGGGACCGCTATCCATACTAAATTAGACAAGGGTGAGAGATAGATGGAGAGGGAGAGTGTACTGAAAAAGTCCCGCATGCCTTCAACGCCGATAGCGATGTCGATACCCCACGGAGCCCCTCTGGCCAGCGCTACACACGCAGTTCACGTCAACAATAATGGACGACATGGACGACGTAGCCGCGTTCTGGCAGCACCATGCTGAGGGTTTCTGTCCACAGGGCAACCCGCTCAAAGTTTGGGAAGAATTACTGCTCATAGCAGCACAAACGCCTGATCGTTTCCGCGAAGCTTTGCAAGCGGCCGCAGTCGCTGTTGGTGCTCGGTACTGCAACCACGATACTCCGCCGGGTCCGCTCCCTGATATCAGAAAACTGCCGGAGAGGCAGGCCGCCGTACAGCAACACGCTGGATTATGCGGAAAGTACCACGCGGAACACATCGCCAACATCGGCGTCACCATGGTGGAAGAAAGGGCAGCAGGAGCTGAGATCACAACGAAAAGAATAAGGAATCAGGTGTGTGTGTATTGGACTGCTGGTTGTGGGGTATGCACTGCTGTGCATGTGTGCCAGGAAATGTGTTCGAGGCCAGAGTGGTGGTGGGAGTGCCACACGAACGACATCTATCTGTCTGTGGCCTGCTGACACTTTAGGCCGGAAAGAGAGGCACGTTGTGTTGTTGTGTTGAATACTTCACATATACGACCTGCAGCTGTTGACACAACTTCGACACCGCGAGAGAATCGGTGTTTTTAGCCTTTGACGTTGTTGGTGTCCTGCTGCTGTCAGCAGGCAAAGAAGCTTGTGATGAAAGCTTATTTGTGCGGGAAGTACGCCGACGGGCGTGTTGGCGGATCAGTAACATGTGTAGTCTGTGCATAGTTCTGGCGGGGGGGTTGTTATCGTCTGGGTCGACATGTTCACAGCCTGTCATCAAACGCGCTACAGCAGTAGCAAAATTGCTGGTGCTTTGTTCCACTAA